ATTTTGATGATGCCACAAATACAAAAGTCATCAAAATATCTGTAATTCTGTTCAGCCAGGATTGTGATATATACGCACCCCCTAACAGACTGGTAAAGTTTGGTCATCAATCAGCTTCATTCCTACTGCTGAGGCCGTCGCTTTGCACTCCCACCTGTCAGCAAGACCTCAGTGTTAGCTTGGTAGTTCTGTGCAATGTATTAGAGCCCTGATTGCCTAATGCTTCCGGCTTTACTTCTCCCAATCTCAGCCCTGTAGTGCAGGGGGATTGCAGAGAGCCAATATAAAAACAGATTCAGACACATAATGAATTATTATTCTGCCTTAAAAAAAAAAAAAAAAACACATTTAAAAAGTACATTTACCCTGATCTTTAAAATGAAAACAACGTCATCTTTAGAAAAGTTTAGTAACGACAATCTACAAACAGATACTTCTAGACAATTGCCGGCTTTGTATTCTTTGCATACCTTGTTTTTCTTTTCTTCCCCAGTCTTCTGACAGTGGCCATGTTTACTAAGGGCATATTCATATATTTCCCTTTACTTCCTGTAACACATGACTAGGACATGTGACCACGTACATCATCTCAAGAGAAAAAATGCCTTTCCATAAGATCTCGAGAGATTATGCCGTTTACAAACGAGATTTCCCAGCAATGCACTGTGATAAAACCTTCCTAGGATGCATCATGTAGGCAAGGGTTACATCACTAATGCCCAAAAGGACCAGGAATTGGAAAAAAAAATAATTGTAAGTACAAGAAAAATATGTGTAACTAATGAATGTAAGGCGATTCCATATCAGCATGAAGATATCATTTTAGTGAAAAGGGGTAAAGGTCCACTTTAACGGATGTCTAATGACTACTTAAAAGAGAACTATGGGGTCAACTTTTTTTATCCCATACATGTAAAAAATCAGTCAAGGCAACTGGACTTGCTTTTTTTTTCTTGAAGTCATTTCACTGGTCATCCAACCCGCTTTCTCAGTTCAGAATGACTTGTACAAAAAAAAATTATCTGCGAATAAATATGGTGAATGTTCCTCCAATCCACATAACCTGTTAGTCACAACCAGTTGCTTTGACTTATTTTTTACAGATATACTATGACCTGGATGAATGAGAACCTTCACAGACATTTTTTTATCCCAGTTCTCTTAAGGGTCATGGGAGGGCTATTGCCCGCCATATACTGAGAGCACCGCAGCCGGGACGGATACCGACAATACTGTCGTGATCCACCCAGCTGCGTGAGTGACAGCTGGCTCTGCCTATCCAGAGGCAGAGCCAGCTGTGTCCGCCCCCTTCCCCGTTCCTCCAGTCAGCGCTGGAGGATCGGAGCGGTGACTGACAGTCACAGCAGGGAGACGATCGGGAAGTGAGCAGATTGGTGCATGTTTCTGCTCACTTTCCGATCAATGAGGAAATCCGCATCATCATCATCATCCCTCACCTCATAGTTATCCTGTAAGCGGATTAATATGTTGTCTTTTAATTATCCTAGGAGTTCAGTTTTAGTTATGATGCGGACAATTTAAAAAAAATTAAGGAAGGAGATGTGCCCATAGCTACTTGACTTATTGTCATTATCTTACATGCACTACAGATATAAAAGGACTCTTATGTCAGCCAGAGACACTTAGAATTTGTCTTCTCCAATTTCACAGTCTGAACGAGAGAAATCCATCAATTCCACTATCCACACTATACAGCATGAAAAGAGGAATACCCGCTGTTGATTACTGTATTCTGCAGCTGCTGTACCATTAAAACAATAACCTATGTGAAAATCTATGTTATTTCATGTTGTAGATAGATTAATAAGGTACAAAATAATACAGCAGCACAATCAAACATCTACTAATAGAAGCAAACATTTTTTTCCAATCACTGGTGGGTCACTCCCCACATAAAATGATGGAAAATAATCTAAAATTTAAACATTAACATTATCATTTTGTACAATAGCAAAATCCGCAGCTGTTATACACATTGCCAACAAAGGTAGGATCTGAAAAAGGTTACACAGCCTGATCTTGGATGGTGATAAAGAGAACATCCCTTAGGAAGATCAATCATAAAGGAAACCTCCATAGACAGGGCAGATAAATGAGAGTCTTCACAAATGACTGGTAATGAGGTATTAAAAATCCCCTGTGTATCTCTGGAGAGGGAATTAAATGAAGCCAAGCAGCTTCTGATGCCATTATAAATGTGGACACAGCAGATTTCTTATATATGCCTGAGCCTGGCTACAAATAATGATATTTATGAGCAATAATGTGCAACTACATTGCCAACATTATTGCATTTTTCGTCAACAATAGACTCTTCGTACATTAATTCTGCCTTTCCTGTTGGGTTTACACGCGTGGTTAGACCACGTGTAAAACATTTTTATTTATGACAATGCTGTAAACATTTTACCATGAAATTATGTTAAAAAAGGAACAGTAAAAGAGCACGAGAAACCCCCACCCACACCACAACCCGCTCCCCATTACCATATAGTGAGATGAGGGTGAAACAGAAAGTCACACCTGCAGCAATGTAGATTCTACTTACACCTCTTAAATACAATTGTGCCCTTTGTTTAAATTAACCTATTTAAGCAGCCTGACCCCCCCCCCCCCTCCCAGTCTAAGGTGATTAATGGCCCAGTATAATATAAGCACTTAACACTCTAGGGATTCAACGCTGTCCTGCAGGCAATCCACCTAAATTTACTACAAAGTCAATGGGGGTGATTTACTAACCTAAACACACGCACCAGGTGCGTGTGATTTTCACACAGCAAAACGTATTTATCAACCAAAAAGTCTCTAAAAGCATATTTCCACTAATGATGCATATATAATGCTGCTTCACAGTTTAGACAAAAATGGTTAGCTCATGCATTTACATTCCTGCATTCATCAACGCAAGCAACACAACTTAGAGCTAATTTACACAACATCACCTTGCAATTTATGCTTGGCTTTGCACAACACACCTGCTGGGTGTGTACACACTACAAAGGTGTTTAGATTCCACCCATAGATCATGCTGGGAGGGAACACACTACAGAGGTGTATACATGTTCGTGGTGTGTTTATAAGGTTAGTAAATCAACCCCAATGACTGCTACCTCACAATAGCATGTGGTTGAACGGAGAAATTATCTACTATCACGAGAGCCTTAATTTCTGGAAGAAGTTCAAAATTTTCCCCATTGGCCACTTCATGCTAACCTGGTTTAGGATTTAGTTGTCTACATGACAGTTACACTACAACTGTTACAAATGGGATAATGTCTATTTTTATGAATGTAGAACAGGCATAAGTCTCTAGGAGGAAATCAAGGTTACATAGTAATCCATCACCTAAAAAATGAATCTACTCGGCCAACAAACTAAACCGGAATGATCCTTGCCTGGCCAAAAAAGAAGTTATCTTCTGGATTTTGGGCAGTGTTATGACCAGGGATTGCTTTAGTTGGACAGCTCTAGGTTCAGTAACATTATGTCCCCAAATATGAGGTCGGCTGCCTACCTAAATATAGTGAATGACCAGGTTTTTCCATTAATGGATTGTTTCTTCCACGGGCATATTCCAAGATGACAATGCCAGGATTCATGGGGCTCAAATTGTGAAAGAGTGGTTAGGGGAGCATGAGGCATGATTTTCACACATGGATTGACCACCACAGAGTCCAGACCTTAATCCCATTGAGAATCTTCGGGATGTGCTGGAGAAGACTTTAAACAGTGGTCCAACTCTCCCATCATCACTACAAGATCTTAGTGCAAACATCAATGTAATTCTGGACAGAAATAAATGTTGTGGCATTGCATGAGCTTATCTAAACTATTCCATGGCGAATGCGTGCAGTAATGAAAGCTAAAAGCTATCCAACAAAATATTAGATTGTGCGACTATTTTTTGGCCAGGCAGTGTATCCCCGAATATAAAGAAAACTAATCAATTCACTAATCAATAGGCGTCGGACTGTCATGCTAATGTAATGGCTTTAAAACATTGACTAGACACTGAATCAAGCCCTGACTGTCTTTCTCAACCTTTTTACCCCAGAGGAACCATTGAAATCATTTTCACTTTTAACTAATTTTCTTCAGGAAAATTATATCTACAGCTTATGATATATTCGCAAGATAAGTATGTTTTAAATATCAAAATATTAATAACAAAAAAAATAAAAGAATAAATAATTTGTCATACCTAGAGTATGCGATACCTAAGGTAGACCATTTCAACAACCCCTGCTCTGTATGATAGCAGAATTTTCCCTAATAATCACAGATTTAAAATGCAAAATTATTTTAATGGCCGAAAAAACCTCATAGACAGATTTCCTTTGCTGGTCAGTGGAGTAATGCCTCTGTACATTGGCGTTTAGTGAAGGGTCCCCTTAAATTGGTGGCCAGTGTTAGAAGTGTCCCATTACATTGGTGGTCAGTGGGAGAAGAGTATCATAAATTAGAGTCAATGAAAAAGATGCTCTCTTACATCTAGGTTCAGTGAGAGGAAGAATCTCACAGAATTGTTCTGTTGTTCTTACATTGGTGAATAAAGTAGAAAAAATACAGTCCTTACAGACAGCTAGTGTCATGCTGCTGGCAATGCAAAGTAATGCTCACCTTGGGATTTTGTAGGCACCATCAGAAGGGAGGTTGATCAACCACCGCTCAAGGAAGCCCAGCAGCCTCTGGAGGAACCCTAGTGTTCAACGGATGCCTGGTTGAGATTGAGAATAGCTGGTCTACATACATGTTAGGGGCCACTCGGAAAGCACTTAAACCAGCCAGCTAACTAGCATGCTCATAAAGTGGGTCGCAGTAAACTCAAACCCTCTTACCTGCTGGGAGCGGGTGGAGGGGTAAACACTAGAGTTCATTACCTAGCCAGAGTTCAGCTTTGAATCTTATGCATTTCAAAATTAAAACAGGGACAGCTACAGAGATTGGTGGTTAAAAGTATTTCATAATTGTGGACTTACCCAAAAGGATCACCAACCACCAGGAAGGCTATGTCACTAACGGCAGCATCTCTGAGGATTTCATCCGCATCTTGTTCTACAGTTTCTCTGTCAGCAAGGATCAGCTCACGTCCATAAAATTCCTCCTAATAATTTGGGCAGATAAAAAAAAAAAAAAAATCCTATTTAAAAGATGTCTTCTCTTATTATATACCACTGTCTTCACAGCTAAAATTACCATTCAGAACACCTTCAACAGGTACACTGGTTAGAGAAAGGTTACTAAGAAGGGATTAACGAGGCAATCAAGGCTCAGGAATAAACACAATAGAAGATCCCTGCTATGTGCATTCTAATTAAGTGCCAATAAATGGCCTCCTGCAAACAGGAAATACTGGCCTGCTGTTCTTCTTTCTTTTCTAAAAGATAGGGGTAGCCAAACTCCGGCCCTCCAGCTTTGGCGAGACTAAAAATCCCATCATGCATCTGCCTTCAAAAGTTATGCCTGTGGCTGGAGTCTTGCAATGTCTAATAATGGTGTTTCAAAGTTTGGCTACACAGTCCAGCTGTGAGTATGCGTGGGATGCACTGGCATTTACTGCATGTTAAAAGATTAAAGTGACATTAAACCCTCAGATTTTTTAACATAAAACAATACTGTAATGTGTGCCTTACTGTAATGCATGGTTGTTTCCCTTCTCTTTGCTGCTCTTCCTTTTAAATCCTCATGTCTTCTAATGCTTGGGGAGAACTTCCCTTTTCAGCTCAGGGCCTCTTCCTGTAGTGCTGGCTCAGGTTGCAACATACACACAGACACCATGGGGGTGATTTACTAACCTAAAACACACACACACACACACACACACACACACACACACACACACCAGGTGTGTGTGATTTTCACACAGCAAAACGTATTTATCAACCAAAAAGTCTCTAAAAGCATATTTCCACTAATGCCATATATGGAAAAATCATGCACATGATGCATATATAATGCTGCTTCACAGTTTAGACAAAAATGGTTAGCTCATGCATTTACATTCCTGCATTCATCAACGCAAGCAACACAACATAGAGCTAATTTACACCACATTACCTTGCAATTCATTGCAGGGCTTTGCACAACACACCTGCTGGGTGTGTACACACTACAAAGGTGTTTCGATTCCACCCATAGATCATGCTGGGAGGGAACACACTACAGAGGTGTATACACGTTCGTGGTGTGTTTAAAAGGTTAGTAAATCAACCCCCATGTATCTATTCCAGAGACAAGGCAGTCTGCTGCAAAACAGAAGTTCTGCAGAGCATGAGAACAGATATGGATTTAAAAAGGAAGAGCAGCAAAGAGAAGTGAAACAACCATGGATTACAGTAAGGCACACATTACACTATTGTTTTATGTAAAAAAATCTGAGGGTTTAATGTCACTTTAAGCCAGTGTAGGAATGCCGGACATAAAAGAAACATCCCATCCAGGGAGCAGACACTGTTACTGTACACACAGGCTGCTGATTTAGGCCTCATTCACACTGCATATACGCGCGCATGTGTGTATTGTAACTATTGCAAATTAATGGCTCCATACACATAGCCGCGTATGAGTATTCACACCCAGAGTAGCATTCGCATGCGTTTGTTCTCCCCATTTGCCGCGCATCCACATTGATTTCAATGAGTTCCTATACGCGCGACAAACACGGCAAAGTAGTGCATGTAGCAAAATTTGCAACATGTACTCTGTGTTTTTCTTCTTCCACGTTGGTACGCGTTCTATTGCTCACAAACGTAAAGGAGGAACACACATACTAGCGGCCGCATTTGGGGTGCCATTATCTAGTCATGATTCACAAGCGCGTTTTGCTGTGCAAGTCGCTAAATGCACTTTTTTTTTTTTTTTTACACGTTTGTTGTTTGTTCCCGCAAAGCCTAGGGTGTGAACCGAGCCTTACGCCTATCTTATAACGTGATCCTCACACCTGTCACAGCAGTATCTGCTAACCAATTTCTTGATCGTGCATCCAGAGCTCAGATCCTAAGCCATTAGTGATGATCCATCACTAATGGCTTAGAGTAGGGGCGCCCACAATTGTTCGTCTGGAGATCTACTTTTCAAATGATGAGCTCAATGAGATCTACCAAACGAAAAAAAACCCTGCATTCAGGGGCAGGAAGGGGCGTGGCGGTGCACCGCAGACATTAGTGCATGCGTTCCAGTCCAGTGTGATCCGGAAAAATGCTGCAAGCACTATTTTTACAGATTGCATTGGACCAGAATGCAGGCACTAAAGTGCCTGCGTTCCGGGTGCGGGCGATCACACTGTGGGCGGGGGGCATTGACTTCAATACAACCCCACACTCCCTCCCACCCCTGAACGCAGGGAGTCGGCCAGCTTAGTTTTCAGTGTGTCCCAGAGGCCCCGGCGTCCTGTCCTCCCGTGGCCGAAGTTGCACATGGAGAGAGGTGTCCCACCCCTTTCCATCTGTAGCGTCTGCCACATTCAGCTGGCAGCCGCACGAGCACCGCGGGAGCAAAGCCGTAGCCAGCTCCTTTTGCGCCCGAGGTAAGAAAAAAAACACGTGGCCCACACAACAGGCGTGTGATGTGTGATAAGGCGTGTGCCCTGCCTCCAGGATTTTTTTTTTTTTATTTTTTATTTTTTTTTACTCTTGGCATGTTCACGAGAACTACCAGGGTTGCAGAGGTTACAGCTGGGACCGGGCTCTGGCGCTCCACCACTGTCCTGAAATCATTAGTCTGTATTGTTTCAGAAAGACTGTCATGACACTAAACAGAAATGTATCAGTACTTGGTAGCTGTGAGCACTTGGACAAGTATCGGTGAGTACTTGGTCTGGAAAAAATGGTATCTGTGCATCCCCAAAAATATATATACAGTATATATAGTTACATAGTTAGTCAGGTTGAAAAAACATTGAGTCCATTGAGTTCAACCTATAGAGATACGGAGAAAAGAAAAAAACAACAAAAAGAAGAGCCTGAACAGAACGCTATACCCACAGTTATCCCATGTTGATCCAGAGGAAGGCAACCCCCCGCCCCATAAAGCATGGTTCAATATGTGCCAACAGGGGGGGAAAAAATTCCTTTCTGATCCCATAAGGCAATCAGATATTCCCTGGATCAACAATCTCTGATGCTTAATATACCTATAAGAACTCAATATTCAGTAATATTCTGTGCATTTAGGAATACATTCAGAAAAACAAATAACTGACATGGCTAGAAATAGGTCCTGAGTCTATTCCACATTTTTTACAGCTTAGGACCCAGAAGATCGCTGTAAAGTACTGTAGCCTTTCTGGCTACTACTGTGTTTAAGAGGATCATCGTGACCCTACCAGGTATAAAATATGTATACCTAAATTGAGCTAAGCTGGACCAGTGTAATTATAATAAATATTTATACCTGGAGTTCAGCTTTAAAGCGGAACTCTGGGCATTGAAGTTTACGTTTAAACATATTCTTCAAATCCACTTTGTGTGAACCAAATTCCTTTGCAAACCCAGATAATACCTTACGGGCTGCCTGCAGAAAAGCACAGAAGGGGGCGGGGACAAGACCAGTCACCCTAAACAAGGAGAGTACAGCAATGACTGGTCTTTACAACAGAAAGCTCCTCCACAGAAGGACATTTTCATACTGGATCAGTGCTCAGATCAGGAAGAAATACACAAAGCACACCAAGGTTCAAGGAAGAATACATGACTCTTGTAGTTAAGACAATGTCTGCTTTCCTGGAGCTCAGATTTAAAGAAGAACTCCTTTAACCCTTGCAGCGGGGCTAGCCCTTGGACTGCAAGGGTTAACTGCTCATTTGTGTCTAAAATAAATTGTGCAATATTGTTACAAACACTCCTCATGGATTACTGTCACTCATGTGAGCTCTAATGTAGGAATGATGCGCAACGGTTTAGCAGGTCAGGCAACCGGAAGCAGCAATGGTTAGCATTAGACATGTAAAGCTCACCGTACACACTACAATCTGGTTGTACAATCATGAAATGTGAATGCGCAGCGCATTATGTGCCTTTGTCAGCATCTCCATAGGGCAGCCCATTCATTCCAATGGGCTGCCCTACATGTGGCAGTTTGAGCTGTGATCTCTGCCAGTTTTCCGAACGTGCCAAGATGTGCATCTTGCTTGCCATGTTTGGGGTGCTATAGACAAGTAATGGCACCACAAGCACAACACGCGGGTTTTTCTTTCTTTGCACATTGTGTGACTGCACGCATAATCACGTGAATTTGCAGACGAAATTTTAAATGCGGCCATAGATCTACCAACAACTATTTAGTACAAGGGCCGGCCTGATTGGATACACATAGATTGACTGGTTTGGGTAGGTCCTCACATTGTTTTGGTCAATCTAAAGTTAAATGTAGAGAGATTGTATGAATAAATTGTAATGTGTAGGGTGAGGCTTAGGGTCACCACACACATTACAATCTGCCCATACAATCAACCTTGCATCTACCAAAGCTATATGAGGATTTACCTAATCCATCCAATCAATTTCTCTCCAATCTGACAGCCCCCGTACTACACAGCTGCTGGTAGATCTAAAAAAAGATTGCACAATCAGATTATTATGTGTGCGCAGTGAGTCTTTAAAGTGACATTAAACCCTCAGATTTTTTAACATAAAGCAATACTGTAATGTGTGCCTTACTGTAATCCATGGTAGTTCCCTTCTCTTTGCTGCTCTTCCTTTTAAATCTGTATCTGTTCTCAGGCTGGGCAGAACTTCTGTTTTGCACAGACTGCCTTGTCTCAGGAATGGATACACGGTGTCTGTGTATAGGCTTGTAACCTGAGCCAGGACTACAGGAAGAGGCACTCAGCTGCAAAGGGAAGTTCTCCCAAAGCATGAGAAGACATGAGGATTTAAAAGGAAGAGCAGCAAAGAGAAGGGAAACTACCATGGATTACAGTAAGGCACACATTACAGTATTGGTTTATGTTAAAAAATCTGAAGGTTTAATGTCACTTTAAGCTGCCCATACACCTTGCGGTCATCGGACGCAATTTTTTATCCGATGATCGAACCGTCGTACGATTTCCGTACGGCGGCCCCATCCTGCCCCGATATCACAAGGTTCAATCAGCTGTAGTTTTAAAAAAAAACACCTGGACGAATTGCGGTAATCGACCGCACATTTTTTCATCTGCGCATGTGCAGTGTAAAATCGTACGAATTTTGACGTATGGAAACGCCACCAACCTTGCGAAAATCGTACGATCGACCAAAGTTTTATAACCTGCTGGATAGTCAACAGTCGATCGATTGTACAGTATTTGCGGTTGTACACTGCCCATCAACCTGACGAATATCAGACAAAACGCGATCGCTTACGTAAATCGGCCGATATACATAAGGTGCATGGGCACCTTTAGGGTGACCATATGCTATACAATCAGTACAATCAACTATTTAGTGCACGTCCCACCTGATTTAAATACTAACTGGATTGTTTAGGTTTGACCTCACAGTATATAGTTTTGGTCATTCTAAATGAGGTTGCACAAAGAGATTGCATAGTGAATGGCCAGCTTAAGTTTCTAGAACAGTCTCCTCCTAAATACAACAATCAATAAGACATAAGTCCAAAGAATGGCTCCTACCAAGACCTCTTTGCCAACGGTGAGTATAGAGGTGTATGCCTCCAGGTAGACCCGGGAACAGCTCTTGATCACCTCCAGGCCCCTCACTGTCACATCCTTAGCATCCCCAAGGCCTAAACCAATGAGGTACAACATAGTCCTCCCACACAGCAGCAGCACGCAGTGCTGGGAGCTCTAGAAAGAAGGCAGCGATGGATGTCAGATCTGTGAGATGTCTGTGTACATTGGCTGGCATAGATCCCCTCCTGCCTGTCCCCACGCTGACAGCTACGGGACGACGCCAGAATACGGCTGCGGTAAACATCAACCTTTGACCTCCGTACTGTAAAGCGGTCCATGTTAACTAAGGGCACAGCGCTATACATTACTACGGCAGTCGCCATCTTTACTCCTGCTACCCGCATCCTGGGTGATCTAACGTGGGCGGACATGTTTGTTGAGGGCATGGCTCTTCATAGTTTTAGCAGCGATCTGATAGTGAATTGTGAGCACCGGCAGAAAAACCACACCAAGTGTGAGTGCAGGTAACAGATCCATGAAAAGCTATTGCATTGCACGTGAAGTTATAGAAATGTTTGTTGAGTGTAAATTAAAATTTTTCTAACGTGTATTTGGTACTTTAAACAGCTAATGTGATCCCAGAACATGGAGGTGCACATATACCCCACTGTGTCACTCTCTAATGGGCAGAAGATCCCGGTCCTGGGTTTGGGTAAGTCTTGTGTGTGTAAATAATTGTATAAGAAGTTTTGGGTTGACACTGGAACAAGAATGGAGGGGGGAGGTTTCTGGGGACGTATATTCCGGTGACAGTGCTCTATGAAAATGTTTCCTTTCCTTTGGATAGATTTCCTCTTACTTCCTTTTGCTGAGCTTTCCACAGAAGAGGAAGTGAAAGTAAATCTCTCTTGTGGGACACAGAGAGCAAAAAAAGAAAAACAAAATGACAAGGGTCACTCGTAGGGTTGCCACCTGTCCGGTTTTGACCCGTACAGTCTGGTTTTGGTGTGTTGTGTACGGGTGCCCAGCCAGCGGGCACCCGTACACAAGACACTTAGTGCCGACACCGGTGCGGCTGCCGAGGTCCTTGTCAAGCACGATCTGGAGCAGCCAAATCTGCCTGAAACCCGGGTTTTCCTCTGAGCTGGGGGCAGCCTGTGCCTGCAGCTCAGAGAAGTACCTCGGCAGCCGCACATGCGATCGCTCCTCCTCTCTTCTAACTCTGGTGATCTATGACATAGAGAAGAACTGGGAGACATTCTTCTCTATGTCATAGATCACCAGAGTTAGAAGAGCGGCCGGGGGCTATAGATCCCAGTGCAGCTGAAGGGAAGGCATGAAGAGGCGGGGACACAGAAAATAGATGAGCTGCAGGGGGAACGAAGATTTACAGGAGAAGGCTCCCTGACACCATGCTGTCTGCCTGCGGACCCCCTGGTGAGACACCATAGCTTAGACAGCACTGAGTAGCACAGCCCACCCGAGTGTCGCACAGCCCACCCAAAGCTCGCACAGCCCACCTGAGAGTCACTGTCACACAGCCCACCCGAGAGTCGCACAGCCCACCCGAGAGTCGCACAGCCCACCCGAGAGTCGCACAGCCCACCCGAGAGTCGCACAGCCCACCCGAGAGTCGCACAGCCCACCCGAGAGTCGCACAGCCCACCCGAGAGTCGCACAGCCCACCCGAGAGTCGCACAGCCCACCCGAGAGTCGCACAGCCCACCCGAGAGTCGCACAGCCCACCCGAGAGTCGCACAGCCCACCCGAGAGTCGCACAGCCCACCCGAGAGTCGCACAACCCACCCGAGAGTCGCACAGCCCACCGGAGTGTCGCACAGCCCGCCCGAGAGTCACACAGCCCACCCGAGTGTCGCACAGCCCGCACAAACTACCGGGCCACCTGAAGACATTACTCTCTCCTTTATATTCTCCCCCGGCGCTAGAGTGTTCGGGTTTCACTTGAAGAAAAGGTGGCAACCCTAGTCACTCGGCAATAAAAAACCTGACAGAGGTTCTAACCCTTCCATACTTTTACAAAAATAAGAAAACTAATATTTTAGTACCTGTTCACACCTATGTGTCAACCATCACGTGACAATGCACCGCAAGATGAATTCCATGCTTTTCTATAGGGTCTATTTATGCCTATGCATTGTGTTAAAAAGCGACTTGGAAAAAGGTGCAGGCGCTTCTTTTGGGGTTACACAGTGCGTTTTTGAGCCCATAGACTTCAGAGGGAGGGCATGAAAAACACATGTACATGGGGTTTAAGCGTGTTCGTGCGCATAGCAACCAGTCTCCTCCTCCTAGCAACCTCCACTCTAGCCAGGCTTGGGACAGTTTCAGAAAAGTGCAGCAGTAGCTGCAAATGCTTCCGAAAAAACATGTCATAGCAGACATGACTCAAGATTGCTAAGAAAGCACAACAACACAACACAGAACAAACAGGATGCTTGGTGTATTGCAGAGCCATCCATTCCGAATTGCACCCCAACACACTGTACAGTGGACATGAAGTAACTGATGTGCAGTGCATTTGATGTGCTGCGTTGCTAAAAAAGGGTCATGTGTATTGAATCCTCTGCATTTAGGATCCAATTAGAATCTTGAATCAGGGCTAAACGCATGTAAACCCACGTAATGGCGGCTAAACCCATGTAAAGTCATGTACATCTAAACGCATGAGAACTTGATCTGGGAAGCATGAAGTTTGTTAAAATGTTTTCGATTAATTTTTCCTTCTTTCAAACAACCTAAACATTAGAGTGCCAGCCTTATACCAGGCATACTGAAAACTATTGTTGAGTTAGGCCTCATTCACACTGCTAAGAGCCGGCCTGTACAGATCCATGCGGCGTGCACGGCCGTATCGGGCTGCTTCCGGGAAGGACAGGTGCTGAGTGTGATTGTACGCAGCAGCCTGTTCTTCTCTATGGGAGTACGCGGCCGTACGCTCACCAGAGCTGCACATCCGTGCGGGTGCTGTTGTCCGTGCTCGGACGCAGGCAGGATCCACCTGTCCTTCCCGGAAACGGCCTGATACGGCCATGCACGCCGCACGGATCTGTACGGCCTGGCTCTTAGCAGTGTGAATGAGGCCTTAAAGTGACACTAAACTCAGGAGGTACATCTTAAAAATGCATTCAAGTACCTTAACTATTAACTAAAAAAAATTAACTTATTTGTGTATTACTTGGCTGTAGATTCTCAAATCATCTCTGAATTTATGCTGGCACTGCTCTTCCTTCTGATGGGTCGCTTATTTTCCTCCTTTGTGTGTTGTAAAGTAGTCACCACTCTGAGTTCCCTCCTGTGATGGACTACAATCTCAATACAAATTAGTAAACTAAACATGAGATTGTAGTCCATAGTGGGAGTGAGCTTGGAGCAGGGACTACTTTACAACACACACAGGGACCATGCGGAACAAAAGTAACCACCTTCAGAAGGAAGGACAGTGTCAGCACAAATTGAGAGATACTTTGAGGATCTCCAGCTACAGAGTGATACATAAATAAGATACATTGTTGTTAATAGTTCAGGCACTTGAATGCATTTGTACGATTTAACTCCTGAGTTTAGTGTCACTTTGCCTGGTTTAAAATGCCATTGTAGCTTGTTTATTTTTGCTGCCATACTTGTGTTTTTTTTGTCTTGACATACTGAAGGGAGAGGTTCAATTTGATCATAGAAGAGGAAGCCCTTTATCTTGATGGGCGTGGAAGGAGAATCCACTCTTCCTGAAACTTGTAATTCTTGCCAGCATCAAACACTGTTTAAAAGGAAGTTTTTGTGATACTGGCCCCCAGCCCTTCCCTTGCATGCCGCCACAATCACGGTTATCTTCAGATGACAAAGTGTTATTTCGCGATGGATACCGTTGAAGTCCTGTAGGGCAAGAAAGGGTATAGCTGATTACTTTATGATGAAGCTCATCTCAGGCTGGTAAACTATAGTTGAAAAAAAGGCCATTGAGGAATCAGTAGGGTTGATTAAAGCAGACCTTCACACATAAAACAATTTTGCATCCTTCTAACCCCCTATCAGAATAACATGTCATATTTTGGGGGGTAACAAGCTCCTTTTTCTGCAGGTACTTGCTACCACTTGCTCAGTTTTTGCCTAGGCTAGGATGGCATACCTTTGGCCCACCCACCAACCATCCTCTTCGCCACCCTCAGCCGCGTGGGACACAGGTCACACATACTCAGAGGATTGTCTCCCTGCACTCTGCGTTGTGTGCATGCACAGTAGGGGGCCAGCTGTGAGTCATCAGTAAGTGACAGCTGGCTCTCGAATGCAAGATAACAGTACCGAAGACTGGAAGCCCGATAAATAATCTGGTGCGAGGGAGACTTTTAGGGGTCTATTTATAAACAATTTGCAGAGCCATTCGCCCTGTGAATTTCTGTGAAAGTTCGTTCTGTGCGAATAGAGGAAAAAACAAAAGTTTTCAGCATATTTTTTTTCAGGTCAAAAGTAATGAAATATTGCATTATAGCCACTAAAGAAATACTTCTTTCCTATGCTCCTTAACTCCATCTAGAAACCATAACGCTGTATGACATCACATTACATCAACCTGAAAGGAAAATATACTAAGAAGGTTTGCTTTTACCTGAATGAATGTTCTCAGAGAACAATGAACGGCTCTGCAAAGTGTTTCAAAATATACCCCTTTGTGTTCTCATGGCTGGGCGAAGTTCCTCTGTAAATACATTTTGCCTAGTTCAAAGAAAACTAGTTCATTAACAGACAATGAATGATGACAAGTCAGTCCTCTTCATCGCAAACTGCTGGTCCTTGTTGTACTTTTCTATACAGCTAGGACAGGGTTTGAAGGTTGCACATGTGCAGTGAAGGGATTAATCACTTTTGTATGGAAACTAGGGATGCACCGATGCCGAGTATTTGGGCGAGTACTTACACCCGCCCAAATGCCACAATACTTACCCTCGATACCGGAACTACTGGTCAGAGGGAGATTTCAGTGCTGCGAGGGAACATGTAGCTGGCTTCCCGGCCAATCAAATCAGCATGGAGCCGACCTCCTGGCCAATCAGGGACCCGGGCGGCAGGTATGACCTGCCTCCCAGCTTCCTGATTGCCCGGGAAGCCGGCTCCATGCTAGCGAAGTATCGGTACTCGGTGACGGCGAGTACCGAATGATATATATCGGTACTCGACACTGAAAAAACTTTATTTGGTACATCCCTAATGGAAACAGGAGAGCTCATTATCCTGTTAACCTAGTACTGACTGATTGTCACCTTTATGTTCAGTGGTAGTGCAAAAAGAAAGACTTACAGAACTTTTAACAAGAAAATGTGCTCAGGGGCAGTTCACCACAAGTTTACAAATCAGATATTCTAAAGCACTCATCAGCACTGAAGAAGTGGTTTGTATAAGCTATAAAATGTCTGCAACATTACAGAACAAGTCAAGTTGAATGTGATATAGGTTACATTCACACTATGCGTTTTGGGATTCCTGCTGCAGGAACCTACGAATTCCTGCAGCAGGAATCCCAAATCTCCTGTTTAGCTGTGGCCCATCCAAGTTAATGACCAGGTGACAGTGGCCGCATCTGTCATATGTGAAACGATTGCATGCGGTTTGGAATAGATCACTGTGATCTCCTCCCAGCCGCACATCATTCATAGGCTGCAGGAATTCCAAAACGCATAGTGTGAAGAACTTTTAGCGTGC